GGAACAATGGGCTGGCTCAGCAAAGTGCCATCGGCAAAACTGACATCTTCAGACCCCTGCATTTACTGAGTAGTCATGCAGGGATGTGCGTGAGAATTCACCTCCGGATCCGGCCGCTCCCCAAAACTTTGAGCCTTGCAGGAAAGGCTGGAGCCCCGGTACACATGCCTGTGACATGCCTTGTTGGGAGAGGCTGCACACTGCCTGGGGAGGACAGAGTGGGGGACCCTGCAGGCAGCCCTTGGGGCTCGGGAGACCCAGTGCCCACCCCAGACTCACACCACCCCCACTTGGCCAAAGGGAGCCCCACAGGGAACCGGATCGATCCTCCCTAGCAAGGTCTCCATGACCTCTGCTCATCCCTGATCGCTTGCTAACGTACTTCAGCCAACATGCTCTTCTGTCCAGGAGAGAAACTCTGGAAACACCTCTTTTCTCCATCTCCTTTTATTTCTGGCAATGCTTAATTCCTCTCCCTCCAGTTCTGACCCTAGTCGGGGCAGAGGGCAGGGGGCTCCTCTGAACTCGAAACAGGAGAGGGGGCAGGTGAAATCATCCTTTTCCCAGAGGGAGTGAAGGTCAGAGAAGCTGACCTCTTAAATTCGACTGGCCCTAAGGAAAATGTGTGCATGTGTTTATTTTTACAAAGTTTATTAAAGAGTGATTATTGGGGCGCCTGGGTGGCTCAGTCGGTTGAACGTCCCACTTCGGCTCAGGTCATGATCTCGCTGCTCATGGGTTCGAGCCCTGCATCGGGTTCCATGCCGACAGCTCAGAGCCTGGAGCCTGCTTCGGATTCTGTGTCTCCTTCTCTCTCTGCCCCTCCCCCTGCTCATTCTCTCTTTCTCAAAAATAAATAAACATTAAAAATTAAAAAAAAAAAAAAGAATGATTATCTATGTCGGGGTACCTGGGTGGCTCAGGCAGTTAAGCATCTGACTCTTGATTTTGGCTTAGGTCATGATCTCATGGTTTGTGAGATCGAGCCCCATGTCCGTCCAGCTCTGTGCTGACAACGCAGAGCCTGCTTGGGATTCTCTCTCCACCCCCTCTCTGTCCCTCCCCTCCTCTCAAAAATAATAAAAAAATTAAAAAAAAGAATGATTATCCACGTATCTAAGAACCTACAGTAGAGAACCCAATACTCGACCTGTCTGAGGTCTCACTTGGGTTTGAGAATGTAGGTCTCAAGGTGTGAGCCTGGCCTGGGGGCAGAGGTGGGCGATCCCACCCTCTAATGTGGACAGTCAGTTCAGAGGGACAGGGGCAGCTCTCCAACTTGCCTGGTAGCCTCCGGATGCCTGAGAAGGTGGCTCTGCCCGCAAAGCCTTCTGACTCAGGTGAGGGAAAGGATCCAAGTGTGCTGACGATCACCCACAGATGCACGTCCCGACCTGTCTGGCCAGTATTTTCATGTGCCAAATACATGTTGCCAAGCCCCGGCTTAGAAGGTTCACAAAGATTATTACATCATGAACACTGGCTGAGTAAATTCCACCAGGTCTGGATCTGGTTTCCTCATGTGTCCCAGTCTAGTGTGGATGGTACCTGGAGCCATACTTTGCAGCCTGTTTTCATATGAACAAGCCTCCAGTTGCCCCAGGGTGACAGCATTTTTAGATGCTAAGGACACGCATTCACTTTCTTTCTTCCCCTTTTTAAGACTTTTTCTTCTGTTTTTAAAAAAAAATTTTTTTAACATTTATTTATATTTGAGACAGAGTCAGAGCATGAATGGGGGAGGGTCAGAGAGAGGGAGACACAGAATCTGAAACAAGCTTCAGGCTCCGAGCTGTCAGCACAGAGCCCGACGCGGGGCTCAAACTCACGGACCATGAGATCATGACCTGAGCCGAAGTCGGACGCTTAACTGACTGAGCCACCCAGGCGCCCGTCTTCTATTTTTAAAGTAAAACATGTTCAGTGAAAAAAAAATTAGAAAATGCAGACACAGACACACAAAAATATAAATAATAAAACCAAAGAACCCTAGAATTAACCACCATAAACATACTGTTGCATTTTCTTCCAGTTTTTTTTCATGCATGAATATGTATATTTACAAATTTGGCTTCATATGCTATATATAGTTTTATATCTAGCCTTTTTTTTTCTAATGTTTATATATTTATTTTGAGAGAGAGAGAGCATGAGCAGGGAGGGGCAGAGAGGGAGGGAGAATCCCAAGCAGGCTCCACACTGTCAGCACAGAGCCCGACACGGGGCCTGATCTCACAAACCATGAGATCATGACCTGGGCCGAAATCGGGTCAGACGCTTAACTGACTGAGCCACCAGGCGCCCCTCCAGCTTTTTCTTTTACGTAAAAATACATCATGAGCAATTGCCTGTGTTGCTCAGTAGCCTTTGAACTTATTATTTTTATGGACGCATAATATTCCAAGCACCATTATTTAAAAAGAAAAACGAGATAGGTCGTTTTCTTATAAAAGACAAGTGCATTTTTATTGTGAAAATGTCAAAGCATGCAAAAAACGCATTGAAGTAAAAATGACTTTCCAATGCTAGTCACCTAATGTCTTCACTGTTCACAGCTTGATACATTGTTATTCTAGACTTTCCAGATCAATATCTAACTTGTTTTCTTGATCCTTTAAGATTTCACAATTTGTCAACCATTCCGATCCTGATGGACTACAGGCTATGTCCTGTTTTGCTGCAGCAACAATAATACCGTAAACCTTCTTGTGCACGTAACCTTAATCGAAGGAATGAGATTTTATGAGAAATATGAGTGGAAAAATAGGCAATCTTCCAACACAAACCCATCCAGATTCCCACCAACAATGTTGTGATGACCTTTTGCAATCTGAGAATTTTAGGGATCCTGAGCCATTCCATTAATAAGTCCTTGGATAATGAGGATCTGCTTCTGAATTCCCTATTATATTCACCCGTTTTTCCATTCCTGAGCCAGTATCATGTTATCCTAGTTGCAAAAGTTTGTTTTTCTACTCTGAGACATTTATTGTAAACTTCAAAATCGTTCAAAGTAGCAACAAAGAGGAACTTTTTTTTTCATGGAGATTATGATTGCGGTTGCATTGACTGCAAATTAATTTGGTAAAATACTGGCTTATTAATGATGTTAGGAATTTCTGTGTAGAATTACAAAATATTGTTCCAATTATTTAGTTCTTGGTTTGCATCCTTCAATAAAACTTCTCGTTTTCATTATGGGTCCCATACCTTCCTTTTAAATTAGTTTCCTATGCGTTTTTTAATAGTTCCTATCACTATTAAGAATAGTTCCTATCATTGTCTTTCCACTTTTGATAGGAGTTACCCTGAGATCAAGTTATGCAATAGTTTTCCAGTGGCCTTTTTTGCTCTGAAGCCTAATGGTTGGCCCTTTAGTGCCAATGTCCTGCAAATACTAAGTTCAGGCGAGATTTGTTCCATGTTGAGGGCCTGAACAGCTTGGCCCATTGGCAAATTATATTTAAAGAAGGCATAAAAAATAATTCAAACTCCAAAAAGAGCACAGAAATCATCTTTCCTGAGCTGCTTCTATGTTCCAAGCCAGAAACAATTTATATCTTGCTTCCTGTCCAGGCCACGCCAGAAATAATGTATTTTATTTTAACTATCTTAAAAGCGTGTCAGATTTGGAGGGGGAAATTAAATAACCAGGTATTTCTTTTCTTTTCTTTTTCCCTTTAAAATAGTATTTCCACCACAGGGTGACCCTGGTGCGACATGTTACAAATTACACATAACAATTTTTGGAAATCATGGATTTTTTTTCATACCATTGAAGCAGAGAGGAACCTATTTGTTGCATTCACAGATTCAGTCATAGTAAGATCTTTCTGGAGGACACTCATTAGAGTTATACTGGATGAGTGTTGGACTTCTGTAGGCTTTTGTGTGAAGTCCTGTCACTGACCTTTGTTAAATGATTGCATTACCTTGATATGTACCTCAATTTCCTCATCAGTAAATTAAAGGAGTTGGAATAAATATTGTCTGAAGCCAAAATGTGACTGAGTCAAAATGAGTGGTTTTGAGATTGGGCAAAGTTCAAATACAATTCCTTAGAAAAGAGAGTCCAGAAATAGGACCCTACACATTTTGGAATTTAGCATAAGATAAAACGGAGCATTTTTCACCAGTAAGTAAAATATTGGATAGTCATTTGGAAAAAGTCAAGTCAGGTCTCTACAACAGTCTTTATGCCAAATAAATTACAAGTGGATCAAAGATTTTTATGAATAAGGATATTTGTTGCAGCGTTGTTTATAATGGCAGAATGATTGGAAACTATCTAAATGTTCACATAGAGGAGATACCTTAAATAAACTGTAGTTGATTTGTACAGCGGAGGGCTATGCAGCTACTAAAAAGAAGAGGCCATTCTATATGTACAGTGAACGGAAAGATCTGAAGATACGTTTTTCAGTAAGAAAAGCAAAGGGTGTAACTGTGTATAGAGTACTACCACTTACAGTTTTTAGAAGAAGGAAGAGGGAGGAGAAGAAAAGATATTTGTATATGCGTACAAGAAGTATACACAAAATCTCCGGTAGGAAATCGCAAAAACTGGCAAGAGTGGTTACTTCTAAGGAGGGGATCTCGTGGCTAGACATGGTGGGGAGGGAGCCCTCATTTTCACAATATACTTATTTGCAAACTTCTGGGTCATTTAGTCGGTGGGTAGATAATATTCTATTCAAATTGATCAATTATTCTCAACATGTCTCGTGTTCTCCTCAAAATGGATTTCCTAAAACCTGCTTCACAGGACTGTCGTGGGGGGTGGGTCCGGTAACATGAGCGAGAGCCCAGCGTGGTGGCTGGTGCAGGGCTAACTGTTCGCCCACCCCCACTGGACGTATCGAGGCAACCTGGGAGTTGCCTTCAGGCACGGGGTGACCCACAACGGCATGTTTTCATCCATTTCTCTCTTGGCACTGGAGGGTAACAATAGTGAGACTTTGCAAGAGGGGGACACTTGCCCCCTCACCCCCCCACCAAAAAGTGGTTTCTGACACCTCGCTCTTGTACCTGCAGGATTCTCCCACCAAAACCAGTCTCATCAACCCCTGCTACCCTCGGAATTATCTCACCACCTTCACCGGGGGCTACATATTTGACAGCCTGTGCACAGCAGACCTGAGGCCTGTCAGTTACAACCCTGACGACATCATCACTGTTGGAGGAACCGGGGACCCATCGCTGTGTAGGGAAAAGGTGGCTTCCCTGTTTGACTTCACAGCTTGCCGTGACCAAGAAGCCTGTTCCTTTGATGGGGTCTATCAGCCAAAAGTTAAAGGGACATTTGTGGTAAGAGCAAAACCCGCCCAAAAGCGTCCTTTTTTCCCCCAGTATTTACTTCTCACCTTTCTGTTTCTCTTCTGTTCACCTGCTTCCCCCTCTCTTATTCCCCTAGCCTGAAAGCTCCATGGTGTGTCCCATTCTGAGAACTAACTTCCTTCTGTGTTACGTCCTTCCAGGCATTTGCAGGGTTCTACTACACAGCCAGCGCTTTCAATCTCTCAGGGAGCTTCTCCCTCAGTGCCTTCAACTCAAGCAGCTGGGATTTCTGCTCAGAGAGCTGGAGCCAGGTCAGTATTTAAAGAGAAAAGGGCATGGGGCGCCTGGGTGGCTCAGTCGGTTAAGCATCCGACTTCAGCTCGGTCACGATCTCGCGGTCCGTGAGTTCGAGACCCGCGTCGGGCTCTGTGATGATGGCTCGGAGCCTGGAGCCTGTTTCGGATTCTGTGTCTCCCTCTCTGTCTACCCCTCCCCCGTTCATGCTCTGTCTCTCCCTGTCTCAAAAATAAATAAACGTTAAAAAAAAAAATTAAAAATAAATAAATAAAGAGAAAAGGGCAGGGTGCCCGGGTGGCTCCATCGGTTAAGTGCCAGACTCTGGGTTTTGGCTCAGGTCATGATCCCACGGTTCACGAGTTCGAGCCCTGCGTCAGGCTCTGCTGCTGACAGCACAGATTCTCAAGCTCCGCAGAGCCTGCTTCAGATTGCCTATCCTCCCTCTCTGTCCCTCCCCTACTCGCTCAGTCTCTCTCTCAAAAACAAATAAATAAACATTAAAAAAAAGGAAAGAGAGGGACACCCGGGTGGCTCAGTCGGTTGAGTGTCCGACTTCAGTTCAGGTCATGATCTCACTGATAGTGAGTTCAAGCCCCGCGTTGGGCTCTGTGTTGGCAGCTCGGAGCCTGGAGCCTGCTTCCGATTCTGGGTCTCCCTCTCTCTCTGCCCCTCCCCCGTTCATGCTCTGTCTCTCAAAAATAAACAAACGTTAAAAAAAATCTTTTTGGGGGCGCCTGGGTGGCGCAGTCGGTTAAGCATCCGACTTCAGCCAGGTCACGATCTCGCGGTCCGTGAGTTCGAGCCCCGCGTCAGGCTCTGGGCTGATGGCTCGGAGCCTGGAGCCTGTTTCCGATTCTGTGTCTCCCTCTCTCTCTGCCCCTCCCCCGTTCATGCTCTGTCTCTCTCTGTCCCAAAAATAAATAAACGTTGAAAAAAAAATTTAAAAAAAAATCTTTTTTAATTAAAATAAATACATTAATTAATTAATTAACAAATAAAATAAAAAGGGCAACATCAGTACAAAACACGGAGTAGATCTGAGTATGTTCCATTTGTGAGCACGTGTGTGTTCCGAATTTGGATTTCATGCCATTCTACCTTCCCCACATCCATAAAATGGGGTAATAAGGGAACCTACCTCACACCTGCATTGTGGATTAACGTTCCAGCCACAGACACGATGGTGAGAACCGCGTGCGGTAACAGAAGCAGCACTCGGTAAACTTAGAGATGGTTATTGCGTGATGCTGTACGATAGGACACAATTCGATGATTTCGTGGTGATTGTCTTATGAGGTTCTAGGTGGTGAGGTTCTTTAAAACGCGGTGTTCGGGGCGCCTGGGTGGCGCAGTCGGTTAAGCGTCCGACTTCAGCCAGGTCACGATCTCGCGGTCCGGGAGTTCGAGCCCCGCGTCGGGCTCTGGGCTCATGGCTCGGAGCTTGGAGCCTGCTTCCGATTCTGTGTCTCCCTCTCCCTCTGCCCCTCCCCCGTTCATGCTCTGTCTCTCTCTGTCCCAAAAATAAGTAAACGTTGAAAAAAAAAATTAAAATAAAACGCGGTGTTCTGGAGCATGCCTTTTCCAAGCATGCCTGCCTCATCTGTGTGGAACCTCCTTTTCAGCTCCCGCTGCTGCTGCCCAGGTTTGACGAGGTGTATGCCCGCTCCTACTGCTTCTCCGCCCACTATATCTACCACTTGCTGGTGAATGGATACAGATTCACCGAGGAGACCTGGCCCCAAATATATTTTAAAAAAGAAGTAAGTCAAGGCACGGGTTGTTTCCACCCCTTGCTCTCAAAAGCTTTGTGTGTGGACGTGCGAAAGAAATGTAGAATTTACAGGGGGAGTGGTGGTTTCAGTTTGCTGAAGGGAAGCTGAGGAGACTTTGGTCCCTCGTGACCAAAGAAACGACAGCGGAGAACTCAGAGGAGGTGTCGCTGGAGACCCTTCCAGACGAGGCAGCGGTCAGAGGCCAGGTGCCCACGGACCCTGAGCTCCGCGAGCACAGGACTTGTTTCATTCTTTTCATACTCCTACCATTCAGCACGGGACTGAGAACCTAGAAGGTGTTTACTAAATGTTTGGCAAGTGTATAAATAAATATGTTAAGGATTAGACCTTTCATACTGAAAAGAAACTTTAAACATAACAGTAATTTTTTTTTTAATTTTTTTTTTCAACGTTTATTTATTTTTGGGACAGAGAGAGACAGAGCATGAACGGGGGAGGGGCAGAGAGAGAGGGAGACACAGAATCGGAAACAGGCTCCAGGCTCTGAGCCATCAGCCCAGAGCCTGACGCGGGGCTCGAACTCACGGACCGCGAGATCGTGACCTGGCTGAAGTCGGACGCTTAACCAACTGTGCCACCCAGGCGCCCCTGAAAAGAAACTTTAAACATAACAGTAATTTTTAAAGAGGATAGTAATTAGCTGCTCTCCATTTTACACAGATGTCAGGGTAACGGAGAGTATTAGGGATTCATAGCAGCAGTAAGGAAGAATTTCTCTTGGAATGTGCCTGAGGTCACTGTGTGTACGTCAAGCGTCCGGGGATGGTCCGAAGCTGCAGTCATAGCTGCTACTAGGTGACTGCTCGGTCTGTCACCCTCCGGGCCTTGTTTCCAGGCAGGACTCAGCCTTGCAGACATGTCCACACAGCACTATGTTCAGGTTCGGGGAAAATATTCTCATTTCAGGAATAGCTGATATAAAGCCAGAAGCCAGTATGTTCAATATCAGCTTTAGCAATAATTAGGATAAACCAATCAATACCCAGCATGAGGCCTGTGATTGTCTACTTTTACATAAAGAAAATTGAGTCATCCCGCAAAAGATGAGGCTGTCTGGAGACACAGGGACTGTTGATGGCATGCACTCTCTAAGCTTTGCTTGTAATGAATCTAATTAGCAGGAAAGTACATTGAGAGAACGGAAAGTGACTTCCTCATGAACACCAGTTTGGATGGATACAGAATCCCAGCTTTCAAGTCCCTTTCCTTTATTCATAAAGAAGTTTATATATAGTTAAATTAGCATTCAAATGTAAAGGCATAAAAAAGACTTAAAGATTTGCCACACAAAGACATCCAAAATATTTGTGGAGGAAATAAATACGAAGAGAAATAAATCCAGGAGGATGTTATAAAAATATAGGCAGTCAGAATAAGTGATATGGTGCCTTGAAGTTTGTTTTAAAAAAAGAAAACTTACATCAAAGAAAAGTAAAAGAGAAGAAACCATCCATAACAACCCAAAATTCAAGTATAGCTAATATCCAGTGTGAAGGGAGCAGGGTAAGGGGTCATAACATGCCCATCTTGTAAAGGAGGCCTTTATATATGTAACATTTTTAAGGCAAGAATGGAAAAAATAAATATAGGAAAATAGCACTGATTGAAAATTTAAAACTAAGACATTAGACGGAAGCCCAAATATATCAATAACCAAAATAATTATAAATGGACTAAACCTACCGGTTAAAAGACAGATATTGTCAGATCAGATTTTTAAAAATCAAGCATATGTCGTTTGTAAGAAAAGCCCTTAGGCGTTAAGCATAAGGACATGGAAAGATTAAAAGTTAAAAAGTTTTCTTTAACTATCAGGCAAACACTACCCCAAGAAAAGGGGTGGAACTGACTGTTTCAAATTTCAGTGGAGCTCTGTAATACCTGACCAAATAGTCTTTAAGAGGATCATTCAAGATACAGAGGATTCCAACATAATGATACAGAGTCCATTCTGAAGACTGTAAATTCTAGACTTTTTTTGTATCTAATAAAACAGCCTGAAGACATGGAAATGAAAACTGATGGAACTAATGTAAGAAATGGCCAGAGTCTGTGCTGCGTGTTTAAACTGACCCCCTGGGCTTAGAAACTGGTTCTAGATTTATGTAAGCTGCTCATCACCCTCTTTCTTTAGCCACAGACACTTGTGGACCCAACAGTAGAAACACTCTTGCTGTTATTAACTGTGCCCACATTCCACTTGGCTGTGACGAGGCTGGGAGGATTCTGACGGCTTTTCTCCACGGTGCAGAGAGGGTAGGGCCCTGAGCCTCTGTGGTCTCAGTGACCTGCGTTCTAGCCCAGTCTCTGCAGTGTCTGAACTTGGGCAAGTCCCTTGACCCTAGGCCACAGCTTCTGGTGGGTGGTTCACGAGGATGACAGTGGTGTATGTGTGTAACTTCTGCCTCGAGCCCCGTCCTGAGAACGAAGCCATCTTTCTATCATACAGGTGGGGAACAGCAGCATAGCCTGGTCTTTGGGCTACATGCTTAGCCTGACCAACCAGATCCCAGCCGAAAGCCCCCTGATCCGCCTGCCCATGGACCCACCTGCCTTTGTGGGCACCCTCGCCTTCTTCACGGCAGTGGCCTTGCTGTGTCTGGCGTTCCTCGTGTACCTGTGCGCTTTATCCGGGAAGCAGAGGCGCTCCCAGCATGCCTTCGACCACACAGTGGATTCTGAGTGAGCCTCTTGAAGCAGCTCCTGGAGCCTGAGGGCTGCCCGGAACCAGCCTGGGTAGCAACAGACAACGCGGGCGAAATGTCCATCTTTGGGAAATGCGACTAAAGCCAAATACCTAGGTTACGTGCCTCTCCGATAACTAATTTATGCCAAAGCACCTCTTGGGGAGTCTCTCAACTGTTTATTCCTCCAGAGACCCTACCACGCACTTGTTGACCTACTGGGGAACAGAGGAGAGACAGGCCATCAAAGTCAGGCTCTTTATTCCAAGTGCCCTAGAGGAACAGTGAATTGAGACTATGACAGTTTAATGTTGAAGAATTGACCTCGGGGCTCAGTTTGCATTTCTCCTTCCACAGAAACGCCATATTCCTCCCGGCAAGTTTGGAAGCTGGCAGGCACCCATGAAGCATTTGACACAGATATGTCGCTTTATGGTTTCCTCCCGTTGATTCTTAACCAAAATTTAGCAATCCCATAAGCATTAAGCTCCCTCAGTCTACTAGCATAATAGCATCTGGGGGAGAAGACTCCATTCCCCCGAGGACAGTGGCCATGGCCAGGCCCTGTCATTCAGGCGGAACCCAAAGGACAGAGACGCACAGCAAGTCTCCCAGGATACTGCAGTGGGAGTCCCATTCAGGGCTCCGGTTGGTAGACTGCAGCCTGTGTGTGTCTTCATTCTCACCTCCCCTTCACGTTGCTGTGTCCTCCTATAAAACATTTACTCCTAGCAAGGCTACCATGTTCCAGATCTTTTTGCCTTTGCTAGGCTTTCGCTTCGGGCTGTTTTCTCATTGGGTCATGGTGTATATGCTACAATATGCCATTCCGGCACGGGTACTTGCCACTGTCCCAAGATCCCCTTGCTTACCGCCTTCCTAGATGGCAGGCCTCTGTGCGATAGCATCATCCTTCTTCACTTTGGGGAAAGAAGAGGAGACTGCAGGGACATCTCCTTCTGATAGAGGATGAGAAAGAATCCAGCAAGTGGCTACAAACTGAAAATCAACGTTATTCCAGATTGTTGTTTGTTAGCTGCATGTGGAATAAAGGACTCTTTATTGGCAGCCTGTGTGTGACCTTGCAAACAGTATTTTGTTTTCTCCTAAGGACCCAAGGTGGCATTTATGAGAGGAAGTTCTTAAAATGAGGAAAATTTTCTTAAGAATAGACTTTCCTGAGCTAAGAAAATTATGCATTAATGTCACCTTCATTCGCGAGAAGTCAAAGTGCTTCCCTTTGATAAAAGCCGTTGGCTCCTTGAGATATTTGAGTCACACATTTCTGTACCTTATTTGACACTCAAAAGTGGGGATGTTAGAACCTGTCACTCAGTTCTTGACGCCTACCCAGAATGGCTGCTCCCTTCCTAAAGTGCACCTTTGCCTGTGCCCCACCTTTGCCCCACCTGGCCTGTGGTTCATCTCCCCAACTGTCCAAATAATGCATATTTCTCAAGCCCTAATTCTAGCTCTGCTTCTTCCACAAAGCTTTCTCTACACACACACACACACACACACACACACACACACACACACACGTGATCTATCTCCTGGATCACCTTTTAAAAACTAGTTAGGTAAATGTTTATATTCTTGATCTTGTGTGTGCACATGGCTTATTTCTAAAATAGACAGTAGGCTACGGAACGGCAAATCCCACCCTTTATCACTCACTCCTTCATTCAACAGACATCCAAAAAACACTTACGATGGGCCTAACACCTTGCCAGGCGTGAGCTTGAATTTAGATACGTGCCAAGGATGTACTATACTCAACATATTTGTTGATTGATGTCATTTCCATAAACGACTGAAGGGTGGACAATAAAGTTTAGAGATATCAGATGAAAATAGCATCCAAATCACCAAGATTTTGCAAGAAAAAAACAGATATGTCTGTGCAGGGAAGAGGGCCAAGGTTTCATGAAAGCAATGTTTCTGGCTTTGGAACACGCTGATGAGGTGTTTTGGGCTTTCTGACATGTATCAAAGAATTCTTACCAGATGGACCATCATGAAATCTGCAGTACAGGTAACAACCTATCTAGTAAGAACTGTGGTAAGCAGAAGCCTAACATGGCCCCCATCACCTTGCCCTCTGGCGGTACTCCAGAGATTACATCGTTACCTGGCAAAGGGATTTGCAGATGTAATCACTAATCAGTTAACCTAAATACGGAGAGATTATCCAGGTAGGCGTTTTCTCCTCACATGAACTCTTTACAGGCAGGGGATTTGCTCCAGAAGTCAGAGAGATTCAAAGCGGGAGGAGGATTTGATGTGCTGTTGCTGACACGAAGACAGAGGAGATCAGGTGTGAGAGAACCCGAGAGCAGCCTCTGGAAACTAACAGCAACCTTGGCTGACAGCCTGCAGGAAAGCAGGGGCCTCAGGCCTACAACTCCAAGTAACTATGTTCCACCGGCAACTGCATAGACTTGGAAGTTTTAGATATTAGATAGATAGTGTTTGAAATTAGATATTTCCCCAGAACTTCCAGTTAAGAGTTCCACCAGATTGACACATCGATTTCAGCCTTTTGAGGGCCCTAAGAGGAGAACCCAGGTGACTTTTGACTTATGGAACCGGGAGGTAATACATAGGTGTGGCTTGAGGCTACTATGTTTATGGAAATTCGTGACACAGCAATAGAAAATTAATACTACAGAACCCAGGCCCCAAGACTCCAACCAAAACAAGTGAAAATTTCAAATGTAATTTAAAAAAAATTTTTTAAAGGTTTATTCATTTCTCAGAGACAGAGCGTGAGCGGGGGAGGGGCAGAGAGCGAGAGGGAGACACAGAATCTGAAACAGGCTCCAGGCCCTGAGCTGTCAGTACGGAGCCCGATGTGGGGCTTGAACTCATGGACCGAGAGATCATGACCTGAGCCGAAGTCGGACGATTAACCAACTGAGCCACCCAGGGGCCCCCAAATGTATTTGAAAGTGATTAGGTATCACAAATTGTATCTACTCTTTAGAATACCCATGTAGGAAAGGCATGGGCTCAGAGGTAAAATAACATCCAACATCACGCAGCTAGTAAGTGTTTTGGGAGGTGGAGACTGAGTTGAGATTCTGGTTGAATCTAAAACCCATTATTTCTGTCACATTTCCCGTTCACAGGGAAAGGCAGCGTCACATGGCAGATAGGAGTCTGACTTTAGAATGTTGTAGTCCAACATACTCATTCACGTACAGACACTTGACTTATGACAGAGGTGTCATGGCAGAGCAGTGAAAAAGATGTGAGACAATTGGATTTCCATATGCAGAAGAAAGGAAATTCGACCCCTTCCTCATACCATTTTCAAAAATTATTTGCAGGCTGGTTAAAGACCCAAGTGTGAAAGGTTGACTTACAAAGGTTTTAGAACAGAAAGGAGGAGAAAAATTTTAAGATCTTGAGTAAGTGAAGGGTTTATTTAGCATTATACAAAATGCATTAACCGTAAGAGGATATGTATACATTTGATCACATTAAAATTAAGAAATTCTGTCCCTCAAAAAACACCATTGTAAAAGTGAAAAGACAAGCCACAGAGTGGAAGGAGTTATTTGCAACATATATAACTGATAAAGGACCAGTTTCCAAATTTCATGGACCATTCCTAAATTTCACTGAGAAAAAGGCAAATGATCCAATTTTCCTGAATGGGCAAAAGGCTTGAAAAGCCATTTTACAAAAGGAGAAATCTAACTGTCCAATAAATATGGAAAGGTGCTCAACCTCATGCACAGATCAGGGCAATGCAAATTAAAACTATGATGAATTGGGGCGCTGGGTGGCTCAGTTAGTTGAGCGTCCAACTCTTGATTTCGGCTCGGGTCATGATCTCAAGGTTTGCGAGATCAATGAGATCAAGCCTGAGTTGGGCTCTGTGCTGACAGGGCAGAACCTGCTTAGGATTCTCTCTCTCTGCCCCTCCCCACCCATTCTCTCTCCCTCTCTCTCTGTCAAAATAAATAAATAAACATTAAAACAAACTACCATGGGGGCGCCTGGGTGGCGCAGTCGGTTAAGCGTCCGACTTCAGCCAGGTCACGATCTCGCGATCCGTGAGTTCGAGCCCCGCGTCAGGCTCTGGGCTGATGGCTCAGAGCCTGGAGCCTGCTTCCGATTCTGTGTCTCCCTCTCTCTCTGCCCCTCCCCCGTTCATGCTCTGTCTCTCTCTGTCCCAAAAATAAACGTTGAAAAAAAAAATTAAAAAAAAAAATAAAACAAACTACCATGAATTAACACAATACACCCATTGTTTGACAAAATTAAAAACTCTGACAACACTAAATGTTGGTGAGTGGGGAACAACTGGAACTCTCAGGCACGGCTGGTGGGGATGTGATTTAATGCAACCATTCTGGTATTGTCTATTAAAGTTGAAAATATGCGTACTGAATGACCCAAAAATTCTAGTGCAAGGTATATACCTTAGACCTACGTGTTCTAATGTACACCAGGCTACATGCCTAGGAATGTTTTTACCAGCGGTCAAGATGCCTATTGCATAAAATGGAAGGGTATATTGTGATGTATCTGTACTAGAAAATACCATAAAGCATGGAAACAGAAGAACTGCAAATATATGCAAATATATGGATGGATCTTGCTAAGATAACTTTGAGGGTAAAAAGCAAGTCACAAAAAAAATACATATATAGTATAATTCCATTTATACAAAGTTCAAAAGCAGACAAAAACAAACACAGAAGGTAACTCTTAAGGAAATCAAGGAAATTATTACTCTTAACTTTGGAAGGGGATAAATGAGTGTCTTAGTCTGCTAGGGCTGCCATAACGAAATACCAGAGACTAGGTAGCTTAAACAATACACATTTATTTTCTCACAGTTCTGGAAGCCAGGAAGCCCAAGACCAAAGTGCCTTCTAATTCAGTTCCTGGTGAGAGCCCACTTTCTGGCTCGTAGACAGCCCATCTTCTTACTGAGGCTACACTTGGCCTTTCCTCTGTGCTTGTGTTGGGGGGAGAAAGACACTGAGCTCTCTGGTATCTTTTAAGGGCACCAATCCCATCACGAGGGCCCCACCCTCATAGCCTCATCTAACCCTAATTACCTCTTAAAGGTATTTTAGGTATTTTAGGCATTAAAGGCATTACCTCTTAGGTAGTAAAGACATTACCTCTTAGGTATTAAAGGCATTACCTCTTAAAGGCATTTTCAAATGCCATCATGGTTGGGGTTAGGGCTTCAATATCTGAATATTGGGGGATACAAACATTTGGCCCATAACAATGGGACTTCTGGGGTGACGGTGATGTTCTATAACTGGCTAGTAGTTACACGTATTACCTGTATTCAACCATTTGTATACATTTATTTACTTATTTATTTACTTAATTTTAGAGAGAGCATGAGCTGGGGAGAGGGGCAGAGGAAGAGAGAGAGGATCGTAAGCAGGCTCCATGCTCAGCACAGAGTCCAACTCAGGGCTCAGTCCCATGACCCTGGGATCATGACCTGAGCCAAAATAAAGAGTCAGACACTCAACCGACTGAGCCACCCAGGTGCCTCATCAGCCGTTTATATACTTTCTATTGTCTTACATGACATTAAAAAAATAAAAATTGTAAATCTAGGTTAACTCAAAGACTTTCTACCTCTATGATCTTCATAAAGCCTTTAAACTTCTTTGAGCCTTGATTCCTTCATATATAAAATAAGGATAATACCTATACCTCATGGGATGGTTATAAGAAAAGAGAAAATTTAGCACATAGCCAGTGCCTGGCACGGAGGATAGCCAATGAATTCAAGGTTAAAAAGTATTTGTTTCGCCCACTTATTCATTCATTCATTCATTCATTCATTCATCATAAATTTTCCAAAAGTCTACTCTGTGCTAAGGGCTGGGCTGCGGCGTGACTGAGGTTATAGAAGCCAGACCAACTTCTTTCCTTTGGAAACACATGAGACCTGAGGCCCTCTGCTGGAGCCACAGAGAAAATCCTTCCAAGACAGTGTTTGCTTTTTCTCTCCCTAACTAAAGATGCTGACAAAAATCACTCATTCAAAAATATTTTTAGTATTATAAAAGAAT